GTCTGCTTCTCCATATTTATCTGAAACCGGCGCTGCTCTCATGTCTGTCGTATCACACCACTGTGTCCAAAATCACCCATATACCCTTATTTGAGGGGACACATTTGTAATGCTGTCTGAAACCATAGTGGACATTATCGATCAGTCATTCTGTCACTCAATCAATCCACCTCACTCTGTCACTCATATAAAGCACCTCAATAAAAAATGTTTTATTTGTGATGATGACCAACTGACTATAAATGATCCCTTATTTGTTCAATGGCTTATACTATGAAGTAACTAGTCAAAGATATGTGACCCTGAACCACAAAACCAGTCATAAGGGTCAATTTGAGATTGAGACTTATGCATAAATAAGCTTTCCATTGATGTATGGTTTGTTAGGATAGGACAATATTTAGCTGAGATACAACTATTTGAAAATCTGGAATCTGAGGGTGCAAAAAAATCAAAATACTGAGAAAATCACCTTTAAAGTTGTCCAAATTAAGTTCTTAGCAATGCATATTACTAATCAAAAATGAAGTTTTGATATATTTATGGTAAGAAATGTACAAAATATCTTCATGGAACATGAGCTTTACTTAATATCCTAATGATTTTTGGCATAAAAGAAAAATCGATAATTTTGACCCATACAATGTTTTTTTGGCTATTGCTAAAAATATACCCATGCGACTTAAGACTGGTTTTATGGTCCAGGGTCACATATGAAAGAAAGAAATCCATTTTAAGGCGGACATGAGGCAGACACAAACTATGGAAAAAAGGCATACTTGATGCTTCCAGCTGGACAAACTAGATGGTAATTTGCATAACTGCATAATTGTTGCTGAGCACACACACAGTTGATTAAATGTGGACACTGAGACTGAGGTCCTTCACAGGACAGAAGAGGAGTGTCCTAGCAAGAGAAGTCAGTCTGACCTCATTCTCATTTTTACTACTCCAACCATACTGGAACCCAACACTAGTTTAAATGACCCAAAGGATCCTTTCCAGATTAATCAGCATAGCAGCTGAATCTAAATGAGAGCACTCAATTTTTCCATTCTCCATTTCTTTTGAGTGTTTGATTTTTAGCAGGGGAAAATGAGCACATTTGATCAAACAAATATTCTTGATTTCACCTAGTTTTGCGTAATCAAGGTGCTTGAACTCATCTTGCTTCTCGGATGGATGATAATTAACTGGGGCATAACAATAAGGAGAAACATTTATATGAAATTGATCCAAGGTTATGGGTGAGATTTGGGACAGTCGGATGGTTCTCATATGAATTGACTTTAGATGCAGTTTGTTAGAATGTTGGGTGGTGTTTATACGCAATAAGGCTCAAGCTGTTTTTTTTTTTTTTGTAGGCTAATTTAATGCACAAGTAAATATGAACACAGTGCACTTATACTAGAAAACATGCGCTATTGTTATTTTTTATTTTGTAAAGTACAAACGAAAATGAAACCATTTAAATGCATAAAATATCTCATTTTACATTCTGGCATTTATGTACTGTTTTTTTTTAATTAACCAATTCTTATCACTATCTGCATGTCTCATCAATGAGTATGCAATGATGGAGAACAAGCTTTTGTGGGTTTTGAGAGCCAGAACCAAGCTGACTAAGCAATAAAGCTATAGTGAGCCCCTTTATTAAAATACCTGGAGGTGGGGAATAATACACAAATTGTCATATTCACTCAGCATTACTTGATCTAATTCACAAATATCTCAAATACAATTTAGTAGAAATTAATTGTATTTAGTTGTGTTTTAGGCACTAAAACAGTCCATTACTTTATAGTCAATCACATTTTTACATTGAAATAATGAAGATTTCTGTGCCACCCCAGACTGGTTGCTGGCCCCTCCCTGGCCACCCCTATAAAAACATCCTGCCTCCGCCACTGAGCTATGTGTTAATCATAATTTAAAGAAATGCTGTCAGCCATCACCTAAATTCATTTACTTCATTGTCTTTTTGTCAAGGCTACACTGCAAAAAATTCTTAGTATTTCATTGCTTTTGTTCTCCTTGAATCAAGCTACATTTACTTAATTCTTGTTTTCTGAAATTCTTGTTTTGTACTTAAACCAAGAAAAATCATCTGTCAATGGAGTAAGAAAAATAATCTTGTTTTTCCTTTGAATTAGGTTTATTATTCTTACACTATTAACAGATATTCTTGTTTTATGCTTGAACTCACTAAATTTTGATGGCTTTCAGATTTCCCTTCTTTATCTTATATTAAGAGTTTTTATATATTTTAAAAAACATAGCCCCTTAAATGTATCTACTGTTATATATAGCAAAATACTAACAAAAGTAGCTATAACAACATGAAGCTAACTCCTTTTCAGAACTTAAAAAAATGCTACAACAATCGAATATACTAATTTATATAACTGAGTTGAAAATATACTAAATATAGTATATGATATAATAAATATAATATACTACATCTTTCTACATCTGTCATGCAAAAAAAGTAGTTAAATTAACAGCATCAGTAGTTATTATTTACTCTCTAACACCGATATAAATAATGTAGAGTAAAAGCTTAGTGTCATGATTAATGAGACTTTTAAAAGAAGACAGGAACTGAGATGACAGAAAAATAAGAAAGCGGCAGAAAGAAGGGAGCAGAGGAAGAAGATAATGCCACGTCGACGAGGGAAATTACGTTTTTATACGGAACTGCTGAGGCGTCCTATGAGAGCGAATTACGGCAAATATGCTTTTGGCTTACCAATGCTCTGCTTACCCAATGAAGATTCAGCAGTAAACGTGGCAGATAACACATCTCCGCCATGCTTTCATTTGTTCATGTTTTAAAAAAAAATGACAGCCTTAAAGGGATCTCATCTTTACAATGTGGCAGAATACACCGGTTATATCGGGCGATCGGATTATTTAAACAGTGAAAGTGAAGTAGCATATAACACACATCACATCTGCATTTGTGTGAATGCTCAATGCTTGTGTGTTGCAAGCAGGTTCCTTCAGACCTGTTTCCTGTTAAAAGTTGAAGCCTCCAATACAGAGACTGAAGCTAGCAAGTCCTTAACAAGGAGAATATCAGTTTTCCTGGCTCTTATGTTTCACTTTCAAAGCTTAGCTCATTCGCCAACTTCCCACAACTGCTTTCCCTCGTCCCGTCTCACTCCTACAGCTCTGCTACTGAGGGGGAGCTGATAGAGACATAAAAAGCTTAAAGCACAAAGACACGCACACGCATACTGCACTCTTCTACAAAGCACTTTATCCTCTGATGAGCTGTTTATGGTCAGGGATGTCCGGCTGAGAAGATTTTGAGGAATTCTTCTTAGGCTGCACTGAGATGCATTGGGTCTTTGTGGGTAATGAGGCAGACAGACCTCAGCTTCTGTCTGGCCAAACTCTCAGGTTATGCAATCAGCATGGAAACCTGAACTCTTCCCATAAGAAACATTTACGGTTTCAGTGTAGGATTAAATGGATATTTCATCCAAATATGAAAATTCAGTGATTATCTGCTCGCCTTCATCAACTGCCGTTACCATCACTATTCACAGACCGCTATTAATCACTGAAAATCTTCAGCTTTTTTGCAGCTCTCAAATTCATTCAGTGCCTTTTTTCACCATGATGTTTCAACAACGTTTTCCTATCTCACACAACTGTATTTTTCCATAATTGTTTACTTAATATCTTACAATTTCTAATACTTTTTTTTTTTATCTCAGAAGTCTGGCTTCATTTCTAAATAATGCAACTTTTTAAAAATTATGATATTCTCATAATAGCAACTTTATATCTTATAATTATATCTAACAATTTCTCATACTTTATATCTCATAAGAGTGACCTTTTTTTCTGACAACTGCAGCCTTCTTTTTTGTAATTGTTACTTTCTCATAGCAACTTAATTTTGACTTTATATCTCATAAGTGCAACTTTATTTCTGACAACTGTCTGCAACCTTATTTCTCATAATGGCAACGTTATTTCTCATAACTTTGACTTTATAACTCACAGTTTCTTACATTATCAACTTTATTTCTAACAGCTGCAACCATATTTTTCATAACTCCAACTTTCTCATTATGGCAACTTTATTTCTCATCATTTTTACTTTATATCTTACAATTTGTCATACAGAGGTATTCAACCCTGGCCCTGGAGACCCACTGTCCTGCAGAGTTTAGCTCCAACCCAAATGAAAACACCTGAACCTATTTTAATCAAGGTCTTCAGGATCGCTTGAAAAAAAAAAATCGCAGGTAGGTGTACGGAAGCACGTTGGCTATAAACTGCATAGTAGGTCTCCTGAAGCAGGATAGAAGGCCTGTCTTTATATCATATTTCATTATATCTTTACATTTCTTGCAATTGTAAGTTATCTTATGTGAATTTAATTTTCCAGTTGGGATGAACTATCCCTTTAAGAATGCCACAACTCTCGATGATTCCAAAGCTGCACGAATCATTCATTAATATCTTGTCCCACACATGTTCAATGGCAAGAATGATATAGCAGTTCCTGTTCATATGTGTTGTGAATATGAGATCACCTACAGTTGGTTACGCCTCATGCATATGCTGTATACAGACTGACTCTCAGTGTGAGCGCTACACACCAGATGAACTTGTTAATGAGTGAAAGGCGAGGAGATTTCAGCTGCAGCCGCCGACTGGTGTGTACTGATTTCATATGTTGTCCAGATCTGTGAGCTGGAGTCAGTGCCCATGGTGCAGAGGGAGGGGTATTATTCATCGATGTGGTATTTATGAGAGGAAGGAAAAGGTCTTTGATAGAGAAACTCTGCTCTGCTCCTCTCTACCACATATACTCGTGTTCCTGGAACCCTCCACTCTCCTTCGCTCCCACGCAGTATCTGCATATCTCTCTAATGTCCAGCCTTTTCCCATTCACTCCATGTTATGTTAAACGTGACAGAGATTGGGTAATATGAGGTAAAAGAGGTGTGCATATTTAGAAAAAAGGTCAACTGACTTACCGATCTGCACACGTGCCAAAGTTGCTGGGAGTCTGGTGCTGTAACTCAGAACTGCTGATATTCCTCTGGCGTTCCTGTCAAAACAGAAATGAGAAAAGCTCAAGGGTTTGTAATGAAGCCTGCACACTATTTATCTGACACTTTTAGAGCATGAGAGATTCAAACAGAAATAGAGTTTCTCTTAAAAATAAAAGTTTATTAATGGCATTGATAGTTTCATGAAGGACATTTAACATCCATTACACAAAAGGTTCTTCATAGTGAAAAAAAAAGTTTCTTCAGATTTTTAAGTATTCTTTACACTATAAAAAACTTTTTAAAACTGTTCTCTGAAAGGTTCTTTGGGGAACCAAAAATGGTTCTTCTATGACATCGCTGCGAAAACCCCCTTTTGGAACCTTTATTTTTAAGAGTATGAGAGCAAATTCCAAATGCCATTTTTGTGTGCATGTGGGATTTGGCTGGCATATAATTATTTATGATCTTAGCTGTCATTTTGAAACATCTGCTTGTGTTCATGCAACCCAAAAATGACACAATGGGAGACAGAAGGCATTTTGAAATAAATGTGAATTGAAGACATTTTACCAGCTAGGAATATAAACTTTGCTGCTGTTATTAAAATGAATAATATTCTGATTCCAAACATAGTAGCATGGCTTGTGTAGGCTTCTCCAAACAACTACATATGACCTGATTCGTTAAGAGTGAGTACGGCATAGTGGTGTTGCCTTTCTAACAGAATTCATCTTGAATCATTTTACAAAATGAAACATGATGGATGAAGACAGAGGTATACAATAAACATAGCCTGTTTCCAGTCAGCTCTGCTTTCCTATGAAGTCCATTCTCACTAGATAGCTTAGACTTAAGCTCAACGAGCCTCAGAGGTGACAACTTCATCGTTCACTGTGTCTCATCCTCCATGTCCAGCTGAGCACTTTATAGCAAACCTCGCAAAGCCATCACCCTAGACAGTAAAAGCAAACTGCTGCTTTTATCTGTTTTAGGGTCTCTAGATAAAAAAATGAAAGCAGCAACTGTGATTCAGCTCCACATCTGTGTGGCAGATTGGACCGAGCAAAAGGTGCTGTGGAGTAGATGGACAGCAGTCTGTCCAGCATGTGTGGAGGCTTTGCTTTGTGATCAAATTACAGTTTTTTGCAAGACAATAAAAGGCACAGTTGAACCCTATCATCTTCCTTTCCATATATTATTTTTTTCCTTACTATATGACTGATGTAAAGCAGAAAGACGTGATGCTTAGTGCAATTTCTAAGCCTATAACTCCACCAAATCAAATTACAAAAATAATGGACCTCGTCAATTTAAAATTTCGTACAGTTAGGGTTAGGTATTTACGTGAAAAAAATAATTTCTCACGCATTTCCTGTTCCCAACAGCTGCTTTCGCGCGTATTTATTTTTCTTAACGTTACACGTTGTAATGCTGATGAATCCGGATTACTCTGAGGGAACTGAACTCGTGACTGCAGCTAATCGTTTGTTCAAAGCACACTCATAACGTCCAAATAAGGACTTACTCTTACAACCGAACTTGAACCGCACACTACTCCTGTTCGCGCGCTCTCGTCTGTGAGCATGCGCAGCAACATTTCTAGTACGCTGTGTATCATTCCCAAAACCAGCTGAAACACAATACGTACATCGTTAACATTACTACTACCAGTGCTGGGAAGATTATTTAGGCCTACAATGTAGTCCATTACTGATTACAGATGACATGATGAAAACTGCAGTTAGTAATGCAATCTAGGTTACTCATTTTAGGTAATGTATTCTGACTATTTTTTATATTAAATTTTTTTTATATGACTTTTTATCTAACTTGTTTTAAACTTACCATTAAATGTACCACATTGGTATAAAAAAGCAAAGAGAATGAAAATATATTCCATTTTTTAATATCAACATCAAGTGCACTCATTGTGTCGCCTGCAATGACGTCATAACCCCTCGATTTCCGGTTTTGTTTTTTAGAAAACATAACTATTACTAGAGATAGTAATCAAAGTGTCCAAGAAAATTGTGTTAAAAATCTTTCAAAAGCAAAAACTATTCTCAATAACTGGATACAAAGAGATATCTCAATTTTTGGAAGAGTTTTATTGACTAAAATGGAATTAGTCTCCAGGTTTGTTTATCCAGCCTCCTCCTCAGCTATCCCACCTCACTTACTAAAAGAATGTAATATTGCATTATTTAACTTTATTTGGAAAAATAAGCATCACTCTATTAACAAAAATGATTTGGTTCACAGTTACGAAGAAGGCGGATTAAATGTTATTGACTTAGAAATAATGAATAGTGTTTTAAAAACTCAATGGTTAAGATAATTTCTTTGTAATACAAACTGCTTATGGTTTACTGTCTCTTCTTCAATATTTGGGAAAGTAGGTGTCTTGGAATTTTTGATTAGATGTGACTTTGATTTGTCCAAATTACCTCTTAAATTGTCTGCATTCCATCAACAAGTTCTCCTGTGTTGGAAATTAGCATTTTCTCACAACTTTAGTCCACACAAAACTTGTATTTGGAACAATCGTTTTATTTTGCACCATAACAAATCTTTATTTTATGAAAACTGGTTTCAATATAACATTTTTTCCCTATTGGACATGATGGACAACTATGGTAATGTTCTCAATTACAATGATTTTTGTTTAAAACATGGATTTGTATGTCATCCTAAAGAGTTTTACAATGTTGTAAATGCCATACCAAAAAACATGGTATTATTAGTAAAAGGGATTCTTTCACATTACTCTGTGACATTCTCTCTCCCATCTCCTTGTCTGGGTGAATTGTTTATTAGAGATCATAAATGTAACAACAAATATATTAGAAGTGTCTTCATTGATAAACTTCATCCAAATAGAATTAAACGACATTATGTTTTCAAAGATTTTAACCCCAAAGAGGTGAAGGAAATTAGAATTAATTATCTTACCTTTCCAAGTCTCCCTAAAGTGAAAGAACTTAATTTTAAAATAACAAATGACATATACCCATCTAAAGAATTTCTCAAATCAAAATTTGATATTGGAGAAAACGCTTGTCAATTCTGTGAAATTGATATTGAACATATTTTTTTTAATTGTAATTACTCAAAGTTGTTTTGGACTCAATTGTGCAGTAAAATGTCATGTATAATTACATGTGTAAATCCCCTTGAATACAAACAAATTAAGTTTGGTGTGCTTAAGAAAGATTGTTCACAACATTACTTGATTAACAACCTTTTTGAAGTTGCTAAATACTTAATTAATAAATGCAGATTTCTGAAAACCCCTCCATCCTTACTTTAGTCCACACAAAACTTGTATTTGGAACAATCGTTTTATTTTGCACCATAACAAATCTTTATTTTATGAAAACTGGTTTCAATATAACATTTTTTCCCTATTGGACATGATGGACAACTATGGTAATGTTCTCAATTACAATGATTTTTGTTTAAAACATGGATTTGTATGTCATCCTAAAGAGTTTTACAATGTTGTAAATGGTATTATTAGTAAAAGGGATTCGTTCACATTACTCTGTAACATGTTCTCTCCCATCTCCTTGTCTGGGTGAATTGTTTATTAGAGATTATAAATGTAACAACAAATATATTAGAAGTGCCTTCATTGATAAACTTCATAGAATTAATAAAATAGAATTAAACGATATTATGTTTTCAAAGATTTTAACCCCAAAGAGGTGAAGGAAATGAGAATGAATTATCTTACCTTTCCAAGTCTCCCTAAAGTGAAAGAACTTCATTTTAAAATAATAAATGACATATACCCATCTAAAGAATTTCTCAAATCAAAATTTGATATTGGAGAAAACTCTTGTCGTATTGATATTGAAACCACTGAACATATTTTTTTTAATTGTAATTCTTCATTGCTCTTCATGATTGTACATTTAATGTAAAACTTCACTGTTACATATTGTAATTGCAACTATGTCTGCCCTTGAGAATTGTTAATATTGTTTATTCAATGCCTATTTTGTATGTACATTTGTTTATTTACTATTAAAAAAAAAAGTTTTTTAGAAAACACCAAAAATGCTTTAATATGTTATGCGTTTTATTAGACAGGTGACGACCGCACAGAGTAGCATTATAACAGAACTTTCAAATGTA